GTACAAAAAACCAATTTCAAATAAATGTTCATTATAAAAAATGCCTTACTTAATTCGAAAAATAAGTTCACTTGAACTCGAAGTCGTTCAATATGAAAATAATATATATTTCTTAAATATTTTTATATTAACTTCGCTTTTGATCGTGGGTGGCGAAATGTAAGGAAGGCTAATTGACGCACTTTTCATCAAGCTATAGAGCTGAAACTTGGCACGTAAACTTAATGACAACACATTCTATCTAATTTTCATCCCCAACACCGCAAAATCAGTTATTCCTGTTTTTTTTTCAAGCCGAAGATGAAAATAATATGTACCGTAACAGTTTCAAAAAAAAAAAAAAAAAATTTCCCGATAATTGCGCTAAATGATATCATTTTTTTTTTTAAACTATCGCATGGGCGTTTGGTGCTATTGACATCTCTGCGTAGGGTGGGTGGTTGGAGACCTTGGATGAATACGTCACGCAGTATGTCTTCTGGGAGAATGCCAGGTCGTGCAGAATTAGCTAACATGAAGATGTTGCGCAATTCTTTCGCATATTCCTCGACAGTTTCCCCAAGGTATTGTTGTCTACGGTAGAATGCGGCCGCTAGAGTTGTGACGTCACGATGATCACCCCAGTTCTGCAAAATCAAGTGCAGTAGTTTGTCTGGAGTGTCTATCGTAGCAACAGCTTGGTCCAAAATGTCCTGACGAGCACGTCCCTCCAGGGCTCCTATTATCCAGATGACCGCTGAGGTTGCGGGCATCGGCTGAAGTTGCAGGAATAACCTTACTTCCTTCACAAACTGCTCTGCATTGCACTCGCCATTAAATTTAGACAGCTTGGGTGGACTGTTGGCTAGGTGAAACTGCTCTACTGCACTTTTCTCCATCGGTCGATCTAAGTGTGTTCTGTCTATGATTGTGTTACCTTTTCTTTAAAACTATCCTCAAAGAATCCTGCCGACAACGCCAAAACTGTAGCCGAGTGGGGGCGTAGGTGACCCTGCTCGCAGCGCCAAAAACTGTAGCCGAGTGGGGACGTAGCTTACAGTGTAAATGAAATCACAATAAAACAATCAGGTCTGAGAACTATAGCTTTTAATGTAAAAGGTACAATACGTTGACAGAGCCGACAGGAAAATCTCTCACTACTGCCATCGACCAGACGCATCCGTTCCACACCACAATCTCAAAAAATGTACACACCTCAAGTCCCAGTTCGCCCCCCCTCCCACACACACACACACAGTCACAGGGAACCCGCGTCCGAGCTGACCATGGGTCAACCCCGTAGCAGGGATGGTTATTCCCGCGTCTAAATAACCTACATAAAATTTAAGGCCAGTACACGGCTGAGTGTTACGTTGAATGACCATGGATAATGGATGTGTACGTGCTTGGGGTTACCCATAGCAGTGACACTATGAGAGTGGATTCTCTTATATAGTGGCACATTGCCACATCCACCCCAACTGTTTAAATCCCAGCGTCCCCGCTGGGCCTATTTTAGAGAACGATCGAATATTTAAAAACAAATTAAAACACTTAGCATGAACAACAACTAGGACTAGTGTCTTTTTGTGCCACTGCCTTAATTCCGTTTCTCTCGATTTGCGATGCCAAGTGATCTGCGTGGTATAACTGGTGGAGGTACTACTGGTGGAGGTACCACTGGTGGAGGTACTACTGGTGGAGGTACTACTTGCGTTGTTGTCACGTGTTTACCTCTTGAGTGTGATGAATGTTGGGGAGCAGTAATGACAGGTACACATGTGTCATGCCGTTGTGGTGCAACCTGTCTTGATGGGATAGCATCCAAACTGGACACGGTTGATTTTGAGTCGTAACTAAATGTCCTTGTTTGTGAGGATGAGCTAATATTGTTCAGGTGCCCTGTACTCATTGTACTGGAAGTTGGTGGTGGCGAAACCAAGGTAGGGATTAAATCCTCGGTGGTTTGATGGGCTTCTTCCATTGGATCACTTTCATTTTTTAATAAAATTTCAGATTTCTCAAAAACATTCAGAAGTTCTCCCTTAGAATTAAAAACGTGTGTCTTTGTTTTTAGTGTTACTGTGTGGGTCATGATAACGGTTCTTCTCTCAACATCTGGGCAAACTGCCGGTTGTTTTGGTGCAACACTAACAGAACCATCCTGTAAAACAGTGTCAGAAAAATTAACTGTTGATCTCTTCCTAATATTTCGACGGTCAATATGACCAGCTGTATTAGTCACACTTTCGGGTTGAAGTTTAAGAATCGTATTTGCGTCTGAGTTTGTGGATCGCACATTCGCAGATTTAGTTCCAACAACAGTAGCGCTAAACTGACCAGGTTCTCTTACATGTGTTGACACATGCTGACCAGCAGTCGGCTGGTCGTGAGCAGCATCATGACCAAATGGCATCTTGGATTTCCTTTTTGACCGTCGCCTCTTGGGGTGTTGTGGTTGTCCGTTTCTTTGAGAAATGTAATTTTTCTTGGCACAGCATACCTGCTCTGTGTGACCTCTACGACTACACCAACGACATAACACATCCGTGCGTGTATGTTGTCGCTTGCGCTTATGTCGTCGCTGATGTGTAGGTGCTGGTGTAGACTCGGTAAAACGGACGTCGCAGTCCCTTTCAGGCGATGGAGGGTTATACCTTTCTGCCCTGGCTGCCACTTGATGGTCAATACGAGCCATAAGTTGTGTTGTCAGCTGGGTCAGGTAAGGTGACGGTGATGCTGAGAGCTGGGCGGTGGCGACATCA